GTTACAAGGTCGCACATTTTGCACCAAATTGATAGCTTTACCTTACCAGTCTCCAATTTTTTAACGGTGTTATAAAAAGTAGGTGTTCTTAAGCTCACTCACTCACCGAGCTGTTTTAATCTGGTTGGATTTTTTATTAATTTTAGTAGTATTTCTGCAGATTTGATTAAATAATCCAAGTAGGACGCCTGATGATGTTTTAAATGTGCGGAAGTTTTATGTATGATTTGAGTTGGATGCCGTTGTTATCTGCGGCATTAATCCTCAGGTAGGATTGGTAAATTAACCTTCTAAATGCAAATAACTAAAACTTCGCAAATACCATGGCGGCTCAGGATTAAAGTCAAGTCGTCTATCATCTAAACTTCACAGTTCTTCTCGAAAATTAACATCTCACTAGTAATTGTGATAGGTTAGCTCACTATAAGTTTGGTTGGTAGAATGCCAGAAAGGAGGCCGTGGATGTCACTGAGAGGCGACAGATGCACTGCTCCACACACCTCTGATGGCCCACACACTAGGTGCCTACCACTTAAATCAGCCTTAACGGAAATGAAACAGCCGATCCGAAGGTAACTCCTGGTCCAATATTAAGAACCAAATTTATTTTAATGCGTCCGATATTATTTCGCCTCCTTGTCAAGAAATTCTTACTTAGTACAATCGAGAAAACGAGTACATGCCTAGATAAATTCAATTCCAAAAGGAAAATTTCAAGCCACAAATAGGAAGGTTTAAATTGATGAAAAGCTTTTGCATTGTAAAATCATATTATTTTGACCTCGGTATTCTCCCTGCAGACATTCTCTTCCACACATCTGCTGAATGGCATGCTGTCAGCATTGCTTTACCTGGGATATTCTAGAGTTTCTGTCTCCTTTAGAGAAGTACAGTTATGGTAGTAAGGAATGAATAAATTTAAGGATAAGGAACGGACCGAGATTTTCGATTTGTCGTTTTTGAACTTTAAGACTATACAGTGTGATGAAAAGCTATCCTTTTGCTTATTTTGCAAGATTTTGGATACCTCATATTTGTTAATTTACCTCGTATCATTTAAATAGACATTCCTCTTAGGCCTGTAGTCTTTCAAACTCACTCTCACTCCTTTGCCTTTGATCTTCAAAATTGGAAATAATAGTGCTTTCCTCATAAAGCCATTCTTTGATTTGTGAGGTAGACAAGGACTTGCTATTGTGGGAAACCATAAGCAAAGAGGTGTTCCAGATACTACATCCGCTTCCAAAGAAGCCTATCATGTACGATCCATGGCGTGATTCGCATTTCGCAACAGATTTCCTTAAAGAACCTTCATCAGTCAGCCAAATAGCATAGAATTGTTTTAAATACGCGCTCGTACATTCAATTTTTGGGACCATTCAAAACGGCTGTGTGATGCGTCCACAATACTTGTGAGTGTGTCCCTTTGGAGTCATCAGTATTGTGTAGTCGTTCTTTTCCATTTTCTTCCAATTTCAATGCCAAGATTTTTGGATGCTTTTGCAAAATATTGCACGTCTTTGTATTTAAAGATAGCGGCTGATTCGGAAGCCTGTGGTCACTCAAACTAGATTACTAGCAAGGGCGACTCCTGATTTCCCCCACCTTTTAATTCCTTTGTAAAAACCTTTATGAAGATAAAATGAATAAAACGAAAAAGTCTTAATTTAATATTGAGAGCGGCAAGTTAGTATTTGTAGCACTACCTTGAAAAACGGTTTTGGAGACTTATTCTCCTCTGAAGTTGTGGTTCATTTTACTTCCATGGACACTCAAAGGTTTGTTTCTTTTTTTAGTCCCACTCTAACACATTTTAATAGAAGAAAGAACGAGTTTGAACTTTTACTCCAGCGGATTAATGTTTGTGCCTCAAACAGCACTTGGAATGGTGAACTTTACATGAGCACGAAAAAATTTCCTGAATTTGCTCCTTACTATTTGTAGAAGAAATCACTTGAGTTTGACTTGTGCAAAAAAGGGTAAAATGTGGTTAGGTACTGCGAAGGGTTTCATTTGGCCAAATTGATGCCACGTAGAATAGTGAAACCGTTTAGAAGGACATTCACAACAGGTGTTAAGACTGAGACCCATGGTGATGGTGAGACTCAACTCTAATTGATAAATAGTTGCACGGACAGTTGGACTTGTCAAGATGTTAGCGTTTCCGTTTGCCGACCAAAATGCACCTTCGATCCGCCAACTGTCCGATGAGAAGCCACTTCTGGCCCGCCGCTGATGTCCGCTCCTACCGAAGTCCTGCATTGTTCATCCCTCCCCAAATCATTGCACTTGGCTGGATGACAATTTACTGCAAAATTTATATCCCAAGCAATCTAACAGACACTAACCGTAAGAAAGAGCTTATAGTTGACAGTATGTAGCGGAAACAATTTTTTGGTCGAAATGTAATTTACACAAAAGCCTACATCAATGCAATACCTCTAATGTAATTTTTAAAATTTCGTCCTCTCTTAGGCAGGGTTAAGATTTTGGCTTTAGCACAGACCAAAGTTGTCCGGTTTGGCTGGCGACTTTTGTGCGGGATAAAAGCAACAAAACAACTTACTTCGGTTCTCCTTAAGAGTTTAGGTGTTTTGGGCTCTGCCAAACGATTTCTTTGGCATTGTCCTTAAAATCATTTAAGTGGCACATAATTTACCTTCCGATTGTGTCGGTATGAGCTTTAAAATAACAAGGGTTGTGTTATTTGCAAGAAAACGTTCCCAGACATACATGCATACACAAAAAGCAAGAGATGGTACGAAAAAGTAAATAGAATTGACAACTTTGACACACTTAAAGCTTGTTTAGTAAAAGATGTTGTGCAAAATCAACAGTCCTGCGTCCCCTAACGAATTACAAGTATCTGCAAAAAAGGTGGTTCATTTCCTTAGGCCGTGAGAATCCTAAATAATATGTGCAGCATTTTTTGACATGGAATGGGAAACCTAGCCAAGATTTTGAGTTTCAGGACTCAATGTTAGGGAATGCCCCAGTCCGGCCTGTTAGAAGGTGGTGCGGCACAGGCACCTGGATAAAAATACGCTGCAGTATTGGGAAGCGGGAATAGGTTATGGAAAGAGCTGACAAGAGTCAGAGAAACAGGACAACAATCGAACCTGGAGTGACAAATGAGCATCTGAAAACGAGTTAAATAATTAACGAAGAACACACTTTCATCCTTCATTTTAATCTATTTACGCAGAACTTTGATCTCATCCCAACTAATACCTTCTTTGCATTTGCCATGTGGATGGAGCTTAAAGAATCCTCCTTGTGTCCACTTAAACAAGATTTATATGAACAATCACAATGCCACAAAATAGAGTATGGAAGCGTGCAAATACTACATTATAGTGTAGTTTAGATAGTTAGAGAATTACAATCTCAATTAGACATAAATCATTAGTTAAAAATGGGCTTTTAAACCAAATATAAAATGGTTCAAAAGAATTGGATGCTTTCAACGTGGCATTACTTTTACAAACTGAGAAGACTTAGAGCGCAGTCATAGGATCGGCTGCTGTGCATTTCTGAGTGTCCGTCCAACTGGCTGTTCGAAGTAGCCAATAGAAAGGCAGGAGAGCAAGTAGAGATTTTGGAAACAAATAGCACTCTCACATGGTCCATTGAATGTCGCCTTAAAAGCTGTTCATTTGAAAAAGGAAAGAATCACGGGATTTACTTGCCTCTTCAAACATATTCATCAATGGGTGATTACTTTTTCTTGATTTGCACACGACCATTTTTATGTGACTTGTGAACGTCTCATCTATTGTTAATGGCCAGTCCTTTGTGACGATATTTTCACAATCTTTACATTAACATGCTCACTGGACCGGAAAAGGCTATTCGTTTTGTTTCCTTTAAAATCCTCACCTTAAAATTTAATTTTTCAAACTAAATTTCAGCTCCGCAGAGCATCTTCGTTTATATAGGAGTTCAAAATTTTAGCCCATTTGGCGCCCAAAGAGTACCCTCATTTTTACTTATTGGAAAACATTCTGAAATTGGAACAATGTTTCAATAATTAAGGACAAAATTTTTCTATCACATGCTGCATGTATTGCAAACCCATCTCCGGTTTGACAGTCATGAGGTGTCAATCCCACTCATGTGCATTCTCAGCCCTTTTCTTGATGTACTTTAAAGGTAGGCACGTTTTGAACAGGCAGCCATGCATTCAAGAACAGATAATCGGTCCTATTCTCGCCTAGAAGTTATTTTACAGTAGCAGCAATAACTGAAGCATTCTGTAGAACAAATATACTGGCGGTGGTGGTGCTCTCAGGAACGCCATAATGAACGCAAAAGTTCAAGAACTCGGAACTCACTACTTAATCCACTCAATTTTGTTCTAAAAGAAAATAAAGGACATTTGTCTTTGCTCCATCCCTCATTTCTCTTCAAGTGGGCACAATTAAATAATCGCAACTAAACACTAGCTACCCATAAAAAGCACGATGTTCGACCTTCTGAAGGGAAATAGGACTACTTGAGTGAGACTTATATCATTCCTAATCTAGTTTTTGGCACCAAAGCTAGTACAGTTTCTAAATATCATCACGAAAGTCTTTAAGTTTATCTCCAGTTTGCTTCCACAATAACTGGTTTTACAATACTATCACACTGGCCCCAAAAATCCAGCAAAACATAATTTCCTTTCACCATTTCTCGATTTCAGCTTAAATAATTGAAAAGGACTGATAAGCTTGATTACAACATTACATAGGCGATGCAAACAAGCCGTGATATTGCTTAAACAGGTGTGACATTGTTCCTACTCACCTAAAACTCATTTCAAGAGCAGTTTAGGACATGTGGGGTTGCGCAATTTTTTTTTAATTGTCTTCAAAAAATCATTGCTGCTCTTGTATCTACCTTTCGTATTAATTTAAGATAGAATAGGAGTACACTGATTAATGACATTCTAGGAATCTGCTCATGAGAACGGTAGGAACACAAATGCGTCGACAGAAGTCGGCACAATGCTTCCTCGCATGTTGATGCCAGGCTGGCTGTCCCTCTTCCTTCTCACTCTTCCCCAGGCATTCTGCGCCCTCGCTGCAACATTGAACGCCTCACAACACTTCCACCAATTTCGTGGAGCCACACGGATCAGCAAACCACCGACGACGATGACGAGTGGTGGGAGGCAATTCTTCTTTGCCGACGTCAACACAAAGATAAACGCAAAAGTGGGCACCAGAGCGGAGCTTCCCTGCCTCGTTTATGGCATCGATTTGACAAATGTTGTGGTTAGTGCAATGCTCTTACTGTCCTCGCTATTGTGTCAGCTAACTCAGTAAGCCTCAATCATTCATATTAAAAATGCTTGCCACAAATCTTCCGAAATCCATCTAACGTTTCCTGCAACAGCAATGCGCCGTCATTACAGACAAAATTTACTTTGCAAAGTCTTGGTCTTAAAGGCTGTCGTACTTTAGGATGAGGTTTTATCATTCAGCAATGAGTACTTGGGTTGTAATTCCGATGAGCACACCAATCAGCAATACCTAGAATGTCCAATGGCAAAATATGCGATTTGTTTTTACCCCTTTCGCTTACACTTTTAGGTCGAGAAACACATTAGACTTTACGCTCATCTAAGGCCTAAAGGTATGCACTAGAGCATCCTTCTTCCGATCAGTTTCCAGGGCACGTTACAGCCCATTAACCCCATATTTTGGCTAAATGACAAACTATAAGTGCGTGTTCATGTAGAAATTCGCATTCAGGATTGGTAATAATTAAATAAGCATAATTCCTCTCACTGTCGTGGCAGATATCTTTACAGTTTGGTGAATGCTTTAAACAATTTGCTCTTTGCATGTCCCATTCAGGTGCTTGTAGACTCTGTGCTAGCACCGAATGGGCTGAACTTGTGTTGAGCAAAGAACTCAATTGACCTTGCACAATCGTGCAACAACGTATTTTAGTTTGTAGAATTTAAAGTACATAATCGTGTGAAGGCATTAGTTTAGTAAATCTGTGATAGCGTTCCTATTGCCTGTATTATGTGTGATGTTGGCACCATTTGGACGATACAATTTATGTTGACTTAAGAGAAGAAGGCCTAACATTGTCGAGCTTCCAGCTATGATGATTTTTTTGTTTTGTTTTGCTATTTGACTTTTAGCACCATAGGTCTGGATCAAACTGCGGTGCCATAGTAACTTTAAGGCCTGTTACGTGCTGTAATATCACGTGAGATATCAACAAAAATGGCTAACTTTTTGCATTAAAACCCGCTCTTATATTGTTTAAAGCATCGTAAAGACTACATAACGTCAATCAGTATAAAGTGCTAAGCATTTGTGCGGATTAATTGAGAGCAAAACATCAATCTGACCTCACAAGTCCGATGAAGACTACTTCGACAACAAAGGATTGACATGAATTTCGCAAATTTGTATAACTTGAAGTAGGACTTTATTAATGCATCCATAAAGCAATATGGATATGAAAGTTTGTCCCAAAAGTTCTCATTGACAAATTGTTGGTAAACCCGAAAAATTACATGAAAGTATTCATATATTATTAGATTGTTAATTTCAAAAGCGGCCTAGACCACCATTGCCAGATCAGCGTGACTGAACGAGAGTAGTTTATATCTCCGAGATGAAAGTTTGTTTTAAAAAGGGGCTGGTATTTTTGCAGGGGAAGCTTTTCGTGCCAATGTGTGTCCAAACGAATACCCTCCTAACTTCTCCAAAGAGGCTCAGCTAAATGGACTAAAAAACCTCCAGTAGCACGGAATGGAATGAAAGCAGATTTCATTTAACAAATTTTAAAAAAACATTGTTTTTACGCTTTTCGAAAAGAAGCAAACATATTTCATTAAAAAGGATTCAATTTAAGCTTTGGGAAACTACTTTTAATGGCGAATACGAGTGAGTCAACCTTTAAATATCCCTTAATTTACCCCTACCGTCCACAAAGAGCTGTTCGGCGAGTTGATCCTATCTTAGAATACACGGACACAAGAGGTACACGCGTCTAGAACTAGAGGAAAAAATAAACAAATTAGGTACTTTTTGGATAATTGTGAATGTAGTGCTGAATAGACCAAGCCGATGCATTATCTAGCCATGTGTATCATGCCACTTCGTGCATGGTCTGCATATTTTATTGCCCCGCCAGGGTCTCTATGCCGACAGGCTCTTTCCATAATTCATCCAACTCCCATTTTGTGCACATTGACAAAAAACCCCATTTTGACACCTCTTTAATGAAAAGAGACCAGCTAGGAGACTCGCTTACCGCCTTTTTGAAAAAGCCTACAAAAAGCTACAAAAAAGTCAATGCAAATCTGGTTTCTTTTAAAAATTTTAAGCGGACGCAAGCCAGGAGAAGGAGGAGTCTCCACTTATGGAGTTTTCGCTATTCCAGATGCTACATAGCGTGGGTCGTTAATAGTGTTGCAAAAATTTAGCTGCATAAATTAGTTTTAGATTTGATGAGAAGATAAGGACATTCATCTACAACCCGGTATGAAATTGGCAATAAAATAGTAATGTTATGGCAGGATGTTTTAAAAGTCTCATTTTACGCACTTACGCACATAATATCGTTTTCGAATTTAAAACGGTCAATCTTTTTAGATAGTTTACATCCCTCTCTCAATTATCTTGTAAGCCTCATCAATACCTCTCTTGCCCTGCTACTTAAATACTTTATAAGCAGGATTCTTAAAAGCATAGTTTTCTAGTTGGTCGAATAAAGCATCTTTTTTGCCGATTATCCAGAGTGCTGCACTGTGTGTTTTTTACATGAAAGCGACAAAGGCAGGTGCTATGTCTAAGGTGGTGCTATTGCCTTCGAAGACTTCAAAAGTTGAAAAATTTTGCATAATGCGCTTCAAAACTCATTGGTCTGCATAAATCGAGCCGTTTTTAATGGTTTAAAATTTTGCTATATTTTACATGATTTTTACGAGATTTTTAGACTTAATTAAGCTCTTGTCACACAAAATATTAGCAGCAGAGGATTTTAGGGATCACTAATTAGCTTGTTTTGGCTTCTCACGTTGAGGCACGTTTATTAGCTAATTCTATATAATTATTGTCCTCACTGTCACCATGCGTCGAAGATGATAAATGTCTGTATCTTTTGCGGTGATTCCACCGATGGAATCATTTTAATCAATTCGTAATATTTTTTTTCTAGGCAAGTGAGTAGAACGGAAGGATTATGTCGCATTATTGAAAAGTCTGTAGAGAGGACTAAGCCAAATTTTGCCCTGTTTTATTGAGGAGTGACTTTAGCATAATTGGTTGACATTAAGTGGAATTATTTATTCACTTTCAATTGCATCTTCACGGCGTTGCGCATAAGTCCCAAAATCCGCTCATGGAAGCATGTACCTAGAGTATGCAACAAATCCTTTAAAACGCACGATAACTGGCTTGTCTGCATATTTGTATTCGGCAGCTACTTTGCATTTTGGTGTTGTTAATTCTTATTTCTGTCCTACCACCTCTCTGACGTATGAGGGCGGAGACAACTATGTGTCAATCTTGTGAGAGACTGAAGCTCAAGCCTGCAAGTAAGCACGATTTTGATGGTCTTTCGATCACTGCGCAGCATTTAGAGTTGGCGGTTGTGTCTATCGCGCACAACAACCAACGTGTAGCCAGAGCTATGCCCAGATGCTATGAAGTGCACAATCTTGGAATTTGGCTAGTGATCTTGCACGCAAGCAGAGAATGTTGTTAAGCCACACTGTCTTAGAAAGCCCTTTTGAGTCTACAGTACAATTTTAAAACGACTTCGCAATAACAATATTTAAGAATGTTCCTTGCAGTTTAAATGCGTAAAATGCAGATATCGTGGTGGAAAGCAGGAGAATATCAGGAGCTATCACTTGGCCTGGAGACGAGGCAGCATCGCTACTACCTACCAAGAAAGTTTTACGAGGATTGGACCCTTGTAATTGACAACATCCAAGAAAGCGATTCCGGGTTCTACGCCTGTCAAATTAACGCCGACAGTTTACTCGAAAAAATTTTCCTGTTAAACGTTACATGTAAGTAATCTTCCCTCTCCTTTATCTCTGTCATCGGTTCCAAACAGAGTTTTTAAGGAAAGCAACATTTTAGAGTATTCTCTTAAGACTTGTCTCGCCCACAAATTCGTTTAGCTTATGATGAAGCCCACTTTGCTTCGAAGTGCATTAAACTGCAAGTGAAAATTTGACGTGTCACTTAGTCCTAATGGCATCCTATTAGAAATAATGAATAAGAGAGTCGTATCACCTCCTAGGTGCATTTTGACATGAGCAGTGCTTTTTTGGGAATTTAGACCAATAATAGGACAGAGAATCTTCTATTGCTAATGTGATAAAATCAAAAGCTGTTTTATCCCTCAAATACGTTAGATTGTTGATCCTTAGCAGTGCCCATCCAGCACAAAAGGGAATTCGTCCACATGAAGTAACGCTGTCCAATGCATCAACATTCACTTGAGATTTTATGTTCCCGAATGAGAAGTGGCAGCCACTTTTTTCTTTGTAAATGAAAAATTGTTGGCCACACGTAAACTCTTTTTGATTCGTTACCAAGTAAGCCAATCGGTCTGTTGATGTACTCATCCATTTTCTAGTGAAACTACTACTGAAAATTTGTCCACAACCTCCTAAAGGTAAAATACCAATCCATTGAATTTACCACTTTTGGGGAAATATTTACAAGTCTTGAATGGTTTTTTAAACCCCCTTAAATGCATTTTTTACATCATCATTGGGTTGATAAATGACGGGGCAAAAGACAGCCCTTAGCCCATTTGACACAACATTCTTTGGATCGGGTTAACGGTCCAGCTGGTCGTTGATAAATCGCAGGCGTGAACCAAAATGACAGCGATTTTTTTCTCATACAAAATGCTAGTTTATAATAAGGCACTTTCATTTTTATTACCCTCTCTTTTTAAAAGACTTTTATTTTCAAGAGTTTGTTGGGAGAATTTTTCAAAATATTTAAGTTATGGGAAAGGTAGGCGGATTTGAAGACTATTCATGCTACCGGAGAGCTATTAGGTTTAGTAAGTTAGAATGCTTTCAGCCTCGTCAGTGTCCATGGAAATCAAGGGGTGTTTAAGGCTCCCGTCACAAACGAGGATTATGTTACGTTAGCAGTGTCCCCAAGGAGAAGTTCTTCGACATTTTGGTGGGACCTCAACTTCGGTGTCCCTCTGTAGCTATAATAAAAGTTCTCTCTAACGGCGAAAGTCAAAGTAAATTGCGGAATAAACTGGAGACTAAATAATCGGAGTGGCTGCATGAGATATGAAAACCTAAATGTCACGAGTT